AATTGCTTCTTCTACCCATGCTTCAGTGCCATAATCAAATGTGTCAACATCCAGTGTATGCAAGACCCATTCTTCCAAGGGTGCTGATCTGAACATTAAAGGCCTTAAAATATTTTTGCATTCCACATTTGCATTTCATAAGCCAAACTCAATCATTATACGTCTTGTGTCTCGGTCAGATATCCCTATTTGCACAGCCTTAGTAAGTCTTTGTAAAAAATCACTAAAGTGTTCTCTCTGACCTTGTTTAATTGTGACAAATGATTCCATTCTCTGTCCTGTGTCTTGTACCCTGTCCCAAGCCCTTAAGGCTGCTGTAGTGCACATGGAGAGTGTGTTTTCATCCAAATTAGCTTGTTCCTGAGGGTCGGAAAAGAGTCCTTCACCTAGAATTTTATCTAGGGAGATGTCACTTTCCTTTGCCTTTTCTTGCTGTTCTAAAAGTCTAGCCTCTTGCTTGAATAAGCACTTCCATTTTAATTGCAGCCCACTCTCAAGGACTGAAGACGTCAGCTGAAACCAGTCAGAGGGCGTAGCTCTGCTTGTGGATGCCCAAGATTTTAGCATCTCTTTAACAAAAGAGGCGTGCATCCTGAAAGTCATGACAGCCTGATTAATATCTTTGAGATCATTCATACGGACAGGCTCCCATATATCTTCCTTGATGACCCTAGGGTTTCTGGAACCAATCACCTTCTCTGTTGTTATTACTGGAAAGGCAGGTAGAGCTGTAGGTAGAGATTTGTGGAAATTTTCCCGGAGGGATTTACCCACAAATGTAGTTAAAATTTGCCTTTCTACCATTTGTTCTTCATCAGAATTTAGAAATTCCTCAATCTTTTCAATTCTATTCACCATTGCCTTCTGCAATGTCTGTATCTCCTGTCCAGAATTATGTTCCAAAGCCTTCATTGAGGATTCTAAAGTATAAAGTTTGTCCATAAGAAATAAGTTCTCATCTTTGGACATAATTTTTATGGCATAAACCGTGCCTTCTTGTATTGACAATCTTTCCGCCAATCTGTCATAAGCTATAGTCAAAATTCGATTGTCACACTCAACAGTTTTGATTCTGTCAGTTAATGTTTCCGTCCTTTCAGAAAGTGTCTGATGAAATTTACGATCCAAATCAGCTGTTCCTTCTTCCATAGTAATGAATTTCTCCTTAATATCAGCCACTAATATTTCACTTCCTACAGAAAGGGACTGGAGTTTATGATCCAGATCAGTTGTTCCCTCTTCCAGAGTAATGAATATCTCCTTAACATCCGCCTGAACTTTTTCTAAATTTTTTTTCAGTCACCATTGTCTTGTTAAACAAAGTTCTGTTCTCTTCCTGTAGAACTTCAAACTGATTCTTGAGAAGATCATTGTCATGCTGAATAGTTTGTAGACGTTCAACCTCTGCCTTAAGAATCCTGGATTCGTCTCTTAAAGACTCTATCATACTTTTGTTGTCAAACCACCTAATACCAAGGAAAACTACTAATCCTAGAACTAATACCATACTAATACCATACTAATACCATAGATGTGGTGTGCTAGACACCTCTTGTAAGATCTCCCACATGGCACACTCAAAAAGACTGTTAAAGTCCTGAATAGTAATATTCTCCGACATTTTATTTATAAAAGAAAATTTTTTTTTTTTTTTACCTGCAATGACTGGTTCCTGCCCGTGGTGGCGAAAGAGTCTACTTGAGTACGTGGAGAGCTGGTCTGAAACAACTCAAAACCGAAATTTACTGTTCTGGGTTAATTGCTGCGGCAAGCAGGCGGTATGGACGGGGAACAGAGAGAAAGCTGCCAAAGTGAACAAGTCAATGAGATGCATGGCACTGAGCCGGGTCACGGGGACTGCAAGCCTCTCCGCCCTTACGTGACCTGAGCGCAGGGTACTCGGCAGGGTGGGGCGCACAAACACAAATTTAATCCGCCGGGGCTATGTCTCCTGTTCTGTTTGCTGGCTTTCTAGCAGGCACCAGAGATTTCCAGTGACTCAGAATCTCAGCTACTTCTAGGTACAGTGCTGAGAGGGCACAATCTTTGCGAAGAGAGAGAGACCTCCCGAGGGGGAGGTGCTGCTGGCTCCCTGTGGTGGCCTCCGGAGCCTTCGAATAGGGGCAGGTATCCACAAAGACCCACTGGGCGCCAAATGTGGTGGCTTAGATTAATGAAGAGAAATTGTAATAAATATTTGCACAACTTTAATGGAAAAACCAGACTCATGAAACCAAGGTTCCCTCGGAGTACAGGAAACAGGAAGGGAAGCACAGGCTTCTGTGCGTGCAATTTATCAGTAAACATTCCCCAGAGGAGAGTCTGCCACATTAGGGGCTGGCCTAACCCTACAGGCTAGGGTTCCAGCCAGGCTAGCGGTCCGGCCAGGCTAGAGCTGGGGGAGTGGCTAGGGGCGGCCCGTTGCCATGGGAGGGTGGTGATAGGGGTGGGGCATTGCTAGAGGAGGGTATGGATAGGGTTACAGCCACCATAGTGTTACAGCCACACTGGGGTTCCAGCCAGGCTAGGGTTTCAGCCAGGGCTGGGGCTGTGGGCTTGGTTAGGGGCGGTCCGTCGCTAGGGGAGGGTGTGGACAGGGGTGGGGCATCGCCAGGGGCCCGGGAGGGGCCCGGGAGAACAGGCACTGGGGCGGCCGGGGGTGGGGGGTTTGGGGCGTGGCCGCTTCATGGGCGGGGCTGGGCTCACTCCGTTGCCAGCGGAGGGCTGCCCATTCCCGGGGGCACGGCCAGGTCCTGCGTCCCGGCCCCCGGGTCTCGGACCGGGGTCTCTGTGGCACTCGGTGACCACCAGCGACTGCCAGAGCCCGCTCGTGTGCGCTGATCACGGCTGGGGGGCCGGAGGTGGGGCATGGGCTCCCCACGCGGCACATCCGCAACCGAGGGCACCCCCACGGGTCACGGGGTGGCCGCTGCGCCACTCCCCGGGGCTCGGGGTGCCGGTTCCTGGTGTTGGACTACGTCTCCCATGAGTCCCGGTGGTGCCCGTAGTCCGTGAATGGGCCAAGGGAACCAGAGAACTCGGTTTCCCATGATCCCTGGGACCCTGGCTTCCTGCTTCCTTCCTTCCTGGCCGGACCGCACCTCCAGAGGCTCCCGGGCGTGGGGAAAGCCGAGAAAAGCGGGGTACGGGGCAGGGAGAACCCCGCAGCACACTCGCGTCCTCCCCCGCTACCCGTCTCCCCTCCCCCGCTGCTGTGATCGAGGGTCCATGAGGGAGGGAGCCGGCATGGACCACGGGGCGGGTGGAGGGGTCGGAGCCTGGGCTCTATTCCTTCCTGCTCTCCCAGCTCGTCTCCCGGGGCAGGGGCCGGGGCGATCAGGGGCCTCCCGGGTCCGCGGGAGGGGGCGGAGAATGGGGAGCAGGGACCGAGGAGGGAGAGAGGGAGAGCTGGGGAGCCCCTGGGCGTGGCCTGGAGGGGCCAGAGTCAATCCTAGTTTCCATAGCCCTTCCATAGACCTCAGGCCTACACACAACTGTGACACGTGGGGTGGGGGTCTGGGTGGCGGGATGGCCTATGCAAGATGTATGCACAGGTCAGTGGTTCCTGGGGTGTCATCCTACATATTCATCAGCCCCTGGGAGGGGCCTGGGAGGATCCAGGCCTCCCTCAACCAATCAGAAAGCCCGGACTTGCCTGCCAGCCACACAGGCCTCGGCCCTGATGGTCACCCTAGCACAGGTCCTGAACCTAAGGCTGACCCTGACCCTAGGACCGCCCCTAGCCCTAGCCACTCCCCCACCACTAGCACCTCCACACCCCTAGCTCCTCCCCAACCCTAGCCTGGCTGTAACCCTAAGGCCCGGGTAACACTAAGGGGCGGTCCGCAGAGGAAGTGCCTAGTGCTGTGGGAGTGGCTGGGGGTGAAGTTGCCAGGGGAGGGCGGAGATAGGGGTGGGGCATTGCTAGGGGTCAGAGTGGCTAGGGTTCCAGCCAGGCTAGGGTTCCAGCCAGGCTAGAGCTGGGAAAGTGGCTAGGGACGGCCCGTTGCCATGGGAGGGCGGTGATAGGGGTGGGGCATTGCTAGGGGAGGGCGTGGCCAGGGCTACAGCCACCCTAGTGTTCCAGCAACCCTGGGGTTCCAGACAGGCTAGGGTTTCAGCCCAGGCTGTGGCTGTTCGTCGCTAGGGTAGGGTGGGCCAGCGGCAGGGCGTCGCCAGGTGCCTAGGAGGGGCTGGGGAGACCGGGCACTGGGACTAGGTGCATCCAGGAGCGGCCGGGGGACCGGTTTTGTGGCGTGGCCGATTCAAAAGCGGAGGTGGGGTCGCCCCGTTGCCAGCGGAGGGCTGCCCATTGCCGGGGGCACAGCCAGGGCCTGTGTCCCCGGCCTCCGGTTCTCGGACAGGGGTCTCTGTGGCTCTTGGTGACTGCCAGCGACTACCAGAGCCCGCTCGGGGGCGCTGATCATGGCTGGAAGGCCAGAGGCGGGGTGTGGGTTTCCCACGTGGCGCGAACGCGCCTGTGGGTGCCCCCAGGGGTCGCGGCGGGGTTGCCGCACCGCTCCCCGGGGCTCCCCGTTGCTCGGGTTGCCAGTTCCCGGTGTTGGAATACGTCTCCCATGATTTCCGGCGGCGGCCATCTTGCCCATAATCCGTGAATGGGCCGAGGGAACCAGAGAACTCGGTTTCCCATGATCCTTGGGCCCCTGGCTTCCCCGCTTCCATCCTTCCGGCCCAGACCGCGCCTCCCGGGAGTGGGGAAAGCCGAGAAAAGCGGGATACGGAGGGGGGAGACCCCCGCCGCGCACCCGAACCGTCCATGCCGCACGCCTCCCCGTCCCCGCGTCGTGATCGAGGGCCCATGAGGGAATGAGCCGGCTCGGACCACGGGGCGGGCAGAGGGGGCAGAGCCTGGGCTCTGTTCCTCCCTGCTCTCCCAGCTGGTCTCACGGGGCCAGAGATGGGGCGATCGGGGGAGGGGGGCTTCCGGGTCCGCGGGAGGGGGCGGGGGAACGGGGAGCTGGGACAGTGGAGGGAGGTGGGAGGGAGGGGGAACCGGGGAGCCAGGCAGATGTATGCACACGTCAGGGGTGTGATGGGGAGTCAACCTGCATATTCATGAGAACCTGGGAAGGGCCTGGGAGGCGCCAGAGTTAACCCTAGTCTCCATAGACCTCAGCCTATGCCCAATTGCTACATGTGGGGGTCTGCTCTGGTGGGCGGGTTGGCCTATGCAGATGTATGCAGATGTCAGGGGGGTCCTGGGGAGTCACCCTGCATATTCGTGAGCCCCTGGGAGGATCCAGGTTTCCCTTGACCAATCAGAAAGCCCTGTCCTAGCCTGCCAGCCACCCAGGCCTCGGCTGTGATGGTCACCCTAGCACCGGTCCTGATCATAAAACTGACCCTGACCCTAGGACTGCCCCTAGCCCTAGCCACTCCTCAACCACTAGCACCTCCACACCCCTAGCTCCTCCCCAACTGTAGCCACGCCCCAACCCTAGCATCCCTGTAACCTTAGCCTGGCTGTAACCCTAAGGCACTGGTAACCTTAAGAGGCAGACCCCCAGAGGGCATGGCTAGTGCTGTGGGAGTGGCTGGGGTTGGAGTTGCCAGGGGAGGGTGGGGATAGGGGTGGGGCGTTGCTAGGGGTCGGAGTGCTTAGGGTTCCAGCCAGGCTAGTACTCTGACCAGGCTAGGGTTCCCGCCAGGCTAGAGCTGGGGGAGTGGCTAGACGGGGCCCGTTGCCATGGGAGAGCAGTGATAGAGGTGGGGTGTAGCTAGGGGAGGGCGTGCTAGGATTACAGCCAACCTAGTGTTCCAGCCACCCTGGGGTTCCTCCAAAGATAGTGTTTCTGCTGGGGCTTGGGCTGTGGGCGTGGCTAGGGGCGGTCCGTCGCTAGGGGAGGGTGGGACATGTGCATACATCTGCATAGACCAGATGTGAGCAGTGAACGTCCACACTCTTCCTGTGTCCACTCACTGGCTGGACAATACAGATGTGAGCGGTAAACCTCTAGTGTCCACTCACTGACTGGAGATTACAGATGTGAGCAGTAAACTTCCAGACGATTCCAGTGTCCACTCACTGTCTTGACAGACATTACAGATGTGAGCAGTTAACTTCCAGACCCTTCCAGTGTCCACTCATTGGCTGGATACACATTACAGATGTGAGCAGTGAACATCCTGACTCCTCCAGTGTCCACTCACTGGATGGACAGGCATTACATGTGTAAGCAGTGAACCTCCAGACTCTCCTGTGTCCACAAACTGCCAGGACAGTACACATGTGAGCAGTTGACCTCCACTGTTCACTCACTGTCTGGACATTAAAGATGTGAGCAGTGAACCTAAGACACGTCCAGTGTCCACTCACCGGCTGGACAGACATTACAGATGTGAGCAGTGAACCTCAAGTCTCTACTGTGTCCACAACAGGCTGGACAATACATATATGAGCAGTGAACCACAAGTGTCCACTCACTGGCTGGACATACATTACAGATGTGAGCCATGAACCTGCAGACTCCTCCAGTGTCCACTCAAGGGCTGAACAGACATTACAAATGTGAGCAGTGACCTCAGGACTCTTCCAGTGTCCACTCACAAGCTGGACATTACAGAAGTGAGCAGTGAATATCCGGACTCTTCCAGTGTCCACTCAGTGGATGGACAGACATTGCAGATGTTAAAATTGTACTTCCAGACTCCTGCACTCTCCACTCACTGGCTGGACAGACATTACAGATGTGAGCAGTGAACCTCCAGACTAATCCACTGTTCACTCACTGGCTGGACAGACATCACAGATGTGAGCAGTGACATCAGGACTCCTCCAGTTTCCACTCTCAACCAGGATATTACAGGTGTGAGCAGTGAACCTCCAGACTCCTTCAGTGTCCATTCACTGGCTGGACATTACAGAGGTAAGCAGTGAACATCCAGATGCCTCCAGTATCCACTCACTCGCTGGACAGACATTAGGGATGTGAGCAGTGACCTACAGACTCCTCTAGTGTCCACTCACTGACTGGGCATTACAGATGTGAACAATGAACATCCAGACTCTTCCAGTGTCTACTCACTGGCAGGAAAGTCATTGCAGATGTCAGAAGTGAACCTCAAGATTAATCTACTATCCACTCATGGCATGGCTGAACAGGCATAACAAATGTGCGCAGTAACCCCAGGACACCTCCAGTGTCCACTCACAAGCTGGATATTACAGAAGTGAGCAGTGAACATTCTGACTCCTCCAGTGTCCACTCACTGTGTGGACAGGCATTACAGTTATTAGCAGTGAATCTCCAGACTCCTCCAGTGTCCACTCACTGGCTAGACACCCATTACAGATGTGAGCAGTGAACCTCCAGACTCTTCTGTTCCACAAAACAGCTGGATATAACACACGTGAGCAGTGAACATCCAGACTCCTCCAGTGTCCACTCATTGGATGGACAGACATTACCGATGTGAGCAGTGAGCATCCAGATGCCTCCAGTTTCCATTGACTGGCTGGACAGACATTACAGGTGTGAGCAATGAAACTCTAGAGTCTCCTGCGTCCACAATTCAGCTGGAGAGTACACAGTGTTCACTCACTGGCTGGATATTACATATCTGAATCAGTGAACCTCCAGACTCCTTTAGTGTCTACTCACTGGCATGAAAGACATTGCAGATGTGAGCAGTGAACTTCCTGAACGATCTACTGTCCACTCATGAGCTGAACAGACATTAGAATTGTGAGCAGGGACCTCAGGACTCCTACAGTGTCCACTCGCAAGCTGGACATTACAGTAGTGAGCAGTGAACATCCGGACGCCTCCAGTGTCAACTCACTGGCTGGACATTACAGATGTGAGCTGTGAACTTACAGATTTCTCCAGTGTGCACTCACTGGCTGGACATACATTACAGATGTCTGCAGCGAACCTCCAGCTCTCCAGTGTCCACAATCGGCTGGACAGTACACATGTGAACAGTGAACCTCCAGTGTTCACTCAGTGGCTGGACATTACAGATGTGAGCAATGAACCTCCAGATTCCTCCAATGTTCATTCACTGGGTAGAGAGACAATGCAGATGTGAGCAGTGAACCTCCAGACTAATCTGTCCACTCCCGGGCTGAACAGACATTACAAATGTGAGCAGTGACCTCAAGACTCCTCCAGTGTCCACTCACAAGCTGGACATTACAGAAGTGAGCAGTGAATATCTGGAATCCACCAGTGTCCACTCACTTAATGGACAGACATTACAGAGGTGAGCAATGAACCTACAGTCTCTCCTTTGTCCACAATCTGGCTGGACAGTACACATATTAGCAGTGAACCTCCAGCTTTCACTCACTGGCTGGACATTAGAGTTCTGAGCATTGAACTCCAGATTCCTCCAGTGTATATTCGCTGGATGCACAGACATTACAGATGTGAGCAGTGAACCTCCAGACTGCTCCAATGTCCATTCAGTGGCTGGACAGACATTGCAGATTTGAGCAGTGAACCTCTAGACTCTCTGTGTCCACAAATCGGCTGGAGAGCACACATGTGAACAGTGAACCTCCAGTGTTCACTCACTGGCTGGACATAACATGTCAGAATCAGTGAACTTCCAGACACCTCCAGTGACCACTCACTGGCTGGACAGACATTACAGATGTGAGCAGTGACCTCAGGACACATCCAGTGTCCACTCATAAGCTGGACATTACAGAAGTGAGCAGTAAACATCTGGACTCCTCCAGTGTCCACTCAGTGGATGGAAAGACATTGCAGATGTTAGTAGTGAACCTCCAGACTCCTCCACTGTCCACTCCCTGGCTGGACAGACATTACATGTGTGAGCAGTGAACCTCCAGACTAATCCACTGTCCACTCACTGGCTGGACAGACATTACAGATGTGAGTAGTGACCTCAGGACTCTTCCAGTTTCGACTTGCAACTAGCACATTACAGATGTGAGCAGTGAACCTTCAGACGCCTCCAGTATCCACTCATACCCTGGACAGACATTAGGGATGTGAGCAGAGACCTACAGACTCCTCTAGTGTCCACGCACAGCCAAGGCATTACAGATGTGAGCAATGAACGTCCAGACTCCTTCATTGTCCAATCACTGGCTGGGCAGACATTACTGATGGGAGAAGTGGATCTCCAGACTCCTTTAGTGTCCACTCACTGGTAGGACACACATTACAGATGTGAGCAGTGAACCTCCAGACTCTTCCGTTCCACAAAACAGCTGAAAATAACACATGTGAGCAGTGAACCTCCAGTGTTCACTCACTGTGTGGACATTACAGAAATGAACAGTGAAGTTCCAGACTTTTTCAGTGTCCATTGACTGGCTGGAAAGACATTACAGATGTGAGCAGTGAACATCCAGACTCCTCCAGTGTCCACTCACTGACAGGACACACATTAGAGATGTGAGCAGTGAACCTCATGACTCCTCCAGTGCCTACTCACTGGCTGAACAAATAGTACAGATGTGAGCAGTGAACCTTCTGACACTCCCGTGTGCACTCACTGGTTGGACAAACATTACGGATGTGAGCAGTGAAGCTCCAGACTCTCCTGTGTACAAAAATCAGCTGCAGAGTACACATGTGAGCAGTGAACCTCCAGTGTTCACTAACTGGCTAAACATTACAGAAGTGAGCAGTGAAGCTACAGTCTCCTCTAGTGTCCACTCACTGGTTGGGCATTATAGACGTGAGCAATGAACCTCCAGACTCTTCCACTGTCTAATCAATGGCAGAAAAGTCATTGCAGATGTGAGCAGTGAACCTCCAGATATATCTACTGTCCCTTCACGGACTGAACAGACATTACAATTGTGAGCAGTGACCTCAGGACACCTCCAGTGTCCACTCACAAGCTGGACATTACAGAAGTGAGCAGTGAACATCCAGACTCCTCCAGTGTCCACTGAGTGGATGGACAAACATTGCAGATGTTAGCAGTAAACCTCCAGATTCCTCCACTGTCCACTCACTGGCTGGACAGACATTACCGATGTGAGCAGTGACCTCAGGACTCCTCTAGTGTCCACTCACAAACTGGACATTACAGATGTGAGAAGTGAACCTCCAGACTCCTCCATTGTCCACTCATTGGCTGGACATTACAAATGTGAGCAGTGAACCTCCAGTCTCCTCTAGTGTCCACTCACTGGATGGATATTACAGAGGTAAGCAGTGAAACTCCAGATGCCTCCAGTATCCACTCACTCGCTCAACAGACATTAGGGATATGAGCAGTGACCAACAGACTCCTCTAGTGTCCACTCACTGCAAGGGCATTACAGATGTGAACAATGAACCACCAGATTCCTTCAGTGTCCACTCACTGGCTGCACAGACATTACAGGTGTTAGCAGTGAACCTCCTGATTCCTCCAGTGTCCACTCACTGGCTGGACAGACATTAGAGATGTGAACAGTCAACCTCCAGACTCTTCCAGTGTCTACTCACTGGCATGACAGATATTGCAGATGTGAGCAGTGAACCTCCAGAATAATCTACTCTCCACTCACGGGCTGAACAGACATTACAAATGTGAGCAGGGACCTCAGGACTCCTCCAGTGTCCACTCGCAAGCTGGACATTACAGAAGTGAGCAGTGAACATCTGGACTCATCCAGTGTCCACTCACTGGATGGACAGACATTACAGATGTGAGCAGTGAACCTTAGAGTCTCCTGTGTCCACAAATCGGCTGGAGAGTACACATGTGAGCAGTGAACCTACAGTGTTCACCGACTGGCTGGACATTACAGATCTGAATCAGTGAACATCCAGACCCCTCCAGTGACCACTCACTGGCTGGACAGACATTACAGATGTGAGCAGTGACCTCAGGACAAATCCAGTGTCCACTCATAAGCTGGACATTACAGAAGTGAGCATTGAACATCCGGACTCCTCCAGTGTCCACTCAGTGCATGGAAAGACATTGCAGATGTTAGTAGTGAACCTCCAGACTCCTCCCCTGTCCACTCACTGGCTGGACAGACATTACAGATGTGAGCAGTAAACCTCCAGACTAATCCACTGTCCACTCACTGGCTGGACAGACATTATGGGTGTGATTAGTGACCTCAGGACTCCTCCAGTTTCCACTTGCAACCAGCACATTACAGATGTGAGCAGTGAACCTCCAGATACCTCTAGTGTCCACTCACTGGCTGGATATTACAGCTGTGAGTAGTGAACCTCCAGATACCTCCAGTATCCACTCACTCGCTGGACAGACATAAGATATGTGAGCAGTGACCTATAGACTCCTCTAGTGTCCACTTACTGCCAGGACATTACAGATATGAGCAATGAACCCCCAGACTCCCCCAGTGTCCACTCACTGGCTGGACAGACATTACTGATGGGAGAAGTGAACCTCCTGAGTCCTTCAGTTTCCACTCACTGTCTAGACACACATTACAGATGTGAGCAGTGAACCTCCAGACTCATCTGTTCCACAAAACAGCTGGACATAACACATGTGAGCAGTGAACCTCCAGTGTTCACTCACTGTGTGGACATTACAGATGTGAACAGTGAAGCTCCAGACTTCTTCAGTGTCCATTGACTGGCTGGACAGACATTACAGATGTGAGCAGTGAACCTCCAGACTCCTCCAGTGTCTACTCACTGGCAGGACACACATTAGAGATGTGAGCAGTGAACCTCATGACTCCTCCAGTGTCTACTCACTTGCTGAACAAATAGTACAGATTTAAGCAGTGAATCTTCTGACCCTCCAGTGTGCACTCACTTGCTGGACAAACATTACAGATGTGAGCAGTGAAGCTTCAGACTCTCCTGTGTCCATAAACCGGCTGGACAGTACACATTTGAGCAGTGCACCTCCAGTGCTCACTAACTGGCTGGACATTACAGATATGCACAGTGAAGCTCCAGACTCCTCCAGTGTCTACTCACTTGCTGGATATTACAGAGGTGAGCAGTGAACCTCCAGACGCCTCCAGTATCCACTCACTTGCTGGACAGACATTAGGGATGTGAGGAGTGACCTACAGACTCCTCTAGTGTCCACTCACTGGCAGAAATGTCATTGCAGATGTGAGCAGTGAACCTCCAGTTTAATCTACTGTCTACTCACTGGCTGAACAGACCTTACAAATGTGAGCAGTGACCTTAGGATACCTTCAGTGTCCACTCACAAGCTGGACATTACAGAAGGGAGCAGGGAATATCCGGACTCCTCCAGTGTCCACTCACTGGATGGACAGGCATTACAGTTGTTAGCAGTGAACATCCATACTCCTTCACTGTCCACTCACTGGCTGGACAGAAATTACTGATGTAAGAAGTGAACCTCCAGACTCCGTCAGTGTCCACTCACTGGCTGGACACACATTACAGATGTGAGCAGTGAACCTCCAGACTCTTCTGTTCCACACAACAGCTGGACATAACACATGTGAGCAGTGAACCTCCAGTGTTCACTGTAGGGATAAGTCCCACCCCTTAGGGGGCATGTTCGCCTCAGGCTAAAGTTTTCCTATAAATTTGGCAAGCTTGCTCCCAGCGCTCGCTTCTGCTTTCCTGGTCTCCGCGGGAACGGTGGTTCTGTAAGTCTATTCCTCCATTAAAGCTGTCTATATTTTGACAATCTGTCTGCATTCGCTTACGCCATTACATTTTGGCATCCAGCGTCGGGCTATTTTGCACCTGACTCAAGCGTGTAGCCTGCTAGCTAACACAGCACGCTCCCGGGTGTCATTTTCTTAGTTTGCGACTTGGGCCCCAGGGCTGAGTCCGAGATACACTCGGCCTTCAGGCCCATAATATCCAGAGAGGCAGGCGGATCTCTGTGAGTTCAAGGCCGGCCAGGCGGTGGTGGCGCACGCCTTTAATCCCAGCACTAGGGAGGCAGAGACAAGCGGATCTCTGTGAGTTCGAGGCCAACCTGGTCTACAAGAGCTAGTTCCAAGACAGGCTCCAAAACCACAGAGACCACCACCGGCAGGAACCAGTCGTTGCAGGTAAGAGAAAAAATTTTCTTTTATAATTAAAATGTCTGAACACGTTACCATTCAAGAATTTAACAGTTTTTTTAATTGTACCATGTGGGAGATTTTACAAGAGGTGTCTATCACCCCACCTCTATGGATCTTTCTGGGATTCGTAGTTTTCCTTGGCACTATATGGTTTGATAATAGAAATATGATAAAGTCTTTACGAGCAGAGGTTGCACGCTTAAAAACAATTGAGAATGACAACAATCTTCTCAAGAATCAGTTTGAAGTTCTCCAGGAGGAGAACAGATCTTTGTTTAACATGACTCGATCAACTGAGGAAAATTTAAAAAAGGTACAGACTGATATTAAGGAGAAATTCATTACTATGGAAGAGGGAACAGCTGATTTGGATCGTAAGCTCCAGTCCCTTTCTGTAGGAACTGAAACATTACAGGCTGATATTAAGGAGAAATTCATTACTATGGAAGAGGGAACAGCTGATTTGGATCGTAAGCTCCAGTCCCTTTCTGTAGGAACTGAAACATTAGTGGCTGATATTAAGGAGAAACTCATTACTATGGAAGAGGGAACAGCTGATTTGGGTTGTAAGCTTCAGTCCCTTTCTGTAGGAACTGAAATAGTAACTGAGAGAATCAAAACTGCTGAATGTGACTATCGGATTTTGTCTAAAGCTTATGACAGATTGGCAGAAAGATTGTCAATACAAGAAGGCACGGTTTATGCCATAAAAATTATGTCCAAAGATGAGAACTTATCTCTAATGGACAAACTTCATACTTTAGAATCCTCAATGAAGGCTTTGGAACATAATTCTGGACAGGAGATACAGACATTGCAGAAGGCAATGGTGAATAGAATTGAAAAGATTGAGGAATTTCTAAATTCTGATGAAGAAGAACAAACGGTAGAAAGGCAAATTTTAACTACATCTGTGGGTAAATCCCTCCGGGACAATTTCCACAAATCTCTACCTACAGCTCTACCTGCCTTTCCAGTAATAACAACAGAGAAGGTGATTGGTTCCAGAAACCCTAGGGTCATTAAGGAAGATACATGGGAGCATGTCCGTATGAATGATCTCAAAGAAATTAAACAGGCTGTCATGACTTTCGGGATGCATTCCTCTTTTGTTAAAGAGATGCTAAAGTCTTGGGCATCCACAAGCAGAGCTACGCCATTGGACTGGCTCCAGCTGAGCTCTGCAGTCCTTGAGAGTGGGCCGCACTTAAAATGGAAATGCTTGTTCAGGCAAGAGGCTAGACTTTTAGAACAGCAAGAAAAGGCGAAGGGAAGTGACATCTCCCTAGATAAAATTCTAGGTGAAGGACGCTTTTCTGACCCTCAGGAACAAGCTAATTTGGACGAAAACACACTCTCCATATGCACTACAGCAGCCTTAAGGGCTTGGGACAGGGTACAAGACCCAGGACAGAGAATGGAATCATTTGTCACAATTAAACAAGGTCTGAGAGAACCTTTTAGTGATTTTTTACAAAGACTTACTAAGGCTGTGCAAATAGGGATACCTGACCCTGACGCAAGACGTATAATGATTGAGTCTTTGGCTTATGAAAATGCAAATGTGGAATGCAAAAAGATTTTGGGGCCTTTAAGGTTCAGATCAGCACCCTTGGAAGAATGGGTCTTGCATACACTGGATGTTGATACATTTGATTATGGCACTGAAGCATGGGTAGAAGAAGCAATTTCCAATGGTAAAAGGAGACACCAGAATACCAAATGTTTTAATTGTGGCAAAATGGGTCATATGAAAAGGAATTGTAAACAACGGATCTTCAGAAATAATAATAATGCATCTTCTAGAAATAACAGAAATAGGAGGACTCAGCCTTCAGGTTTATGTAGAAGATGTGGAAAAGGTAGACATTGGACGAATGAATGCAGGTCTACAAGAGATAGACAAGGCAACCTGATACAGACGGGAAACGTGAGAGGGGGGGCCTCACAGGCCCCCATGGCAAACATGGTTCAGTCATTTCCAGTTTCTGCAGAGAACGTGCCTCGTCAGGACAATTAGGAAACCTCATGCCTACTGTTACAAACGATAATGAGCAGAAAGATGAGTTACGTGTGTTTTGGCAAACTTCTATAAATGATCAAAGACCTAAGCTGAGAGTGTGTGTAAATGGCATTTTTATTACTGGCCTGCTGGACACAGGTGCTGATGTAAGTATCATTACCCCAGAATCTTGGCATCCGTATTGGCCTCTTCAGAATGTAAATGTTCAGCTCCTGGGAATTGGAACCCTATCTCGAGTAAGACAGAGCACAAGATGGGTTGAATGTATAGGGCCTGAGGGACAAATAGGAAAATTAAGGCCATATGTAGCCAATATTGCAATGAATTTATGGGGTCGTGACCTATTACAACAATGGAATACCCAAATTAACATTCCTGCTACTTCTAGAGCCTATATTTCTGAGAATAATATTAAAAGATATTACAAACGGAGAAAACCGGCCATTCGGGCCATACAAGAACAAGTAATTGAAGCCCCTTCAGAGATACCAACAGCCTTGCCTCTAAAATGGTTGACTGAGAAACCAATATGGACAAAGCAATGGCCTCTAGCTGAGGAAAAGTTACAGGCTTTAGAACAGCTGGTACAAGAGCAATTAGATGCTGGACATATAGAAGAATCTACCAGCCCTTGGAATTCTCCTGTATTTGTGGTTAAGAAAAAATCAGGTAAATGGAGAATGGTGACAGATCTCAGAGCTATCAACAAGGTTATTCAACCTATGGGTCCTCTGCAATCTGGAATCCCTTTGCCCTCTTTATTACCAAAAGGATGGCCTCTTATAGTTATTGATTTAAAGGATTGTTTTTTCACCATACCTTTACAAAAAGAAGATAGAGAAAAATTTGCCTTCACGGTGCCTACTTACAACAATTCTCAACCTTCCAAGAGGTACCACTGGGCCGTCCTCCCCCAGGGTATGTTAAATAGCCCCTCCTTGTGCCAATATTTTGTGAACCAACCATTGCAAATAATACGCAAGAAATTTCCCAAATCTATAATATACCACTACATGGACGACATCTTGTTATCCGATTCAAACATGGATACCTTGAACAGACTGTTTGAAGAAATAAAGATACTTTTACCTAAATGGGGATTGCAAATTGCTCCTGAGAAGATACAGAAGGGAGATTCTGTTAATTATTTAGGTTATAAAATAGGTTTGCAAAAAATTAAGACACAAAAGGCACAAATTAGGAGAGATCGCCTACGGACTCTTAATGACTTTCAAAGACTGTTAGGAGACATTTCCAGTCTACGACCAGCTGTTGGGATAACACCTGATCTAATAATTCATTTGAACAAAACCTTGGAAGGTGATAAAGACTTAAACAGTCCCAGAGAATTAACAGCTGAAGCAGAAAAGGAACTGACAATAATTGAGGAAAAATTACAACAGGCACATGTGGACAGGGTGAATCCAGAGCTCGATTGTATTCTCGTCATATTACCATCCAAAATTTCTCCTACAGGAATTTTAATGCAGAGAGATGATATTATCTTGGAATGGATCTTTTTACCACATAAACCAAGTAAAAAACTGAAAACTTATGTGGAAAAAGTCGCCGAGTTAATTATAAAAGGAAAGCTGAGACTTCGTCAATTAGCAGGCATAGACCCAGCAGAAATTATAGTGCCTTTCACTGCTGATGAACTAAAGAAATTATGGGAAGATAATGAACCATGGCAAAGAGCTTGTGCTAGTTTTTTGGGAGATATTAATAACAATTATCCAAAAAGCAAGAGGCTTAACTTCATAAAGAGAACTTCATGGATCCTTCCTCGAATCGTCCGTGATGCTCCAATAACTGGAGCCCGTACATTCTATACTGATGCCAATAAAACAGGGAAGGCAGGTTACAAATCGGAAGACTTGGGTAAGGTGGAACAAAGTCCTTATGATTCTGTCCAGAAGGCAGAATTATATGCCATTCTTATGGTGCTAAGGGATTTTAGAGAACCTATTAATATAGTTACTGATTCGCAATACGCAGAAAGAGTTATTTTACATATTGAAACTGCTGAATTTATACCTGATGATACAGAACTAACCTCATTGTTTATCCAGGTTCAAGATTTGATCAGGAACAGGCTTTGCCCTATGTACATAACACACATCCGATCCCATACGGGTCTGCCAGGTCCTCTAGCACAAGGTAATGCAGACATTGATCAGTTATTGATTGGTAGTGTGTTACAAGCCTCTGAATTTCATAAAAAACATCATGTTAATAGCAAAGGTTTGAAGAAAGAGTTTTCTATTACATGGCAACAAGCTAAGGAGATTGTAAAGAAATGCCCTACTTGCTCTTTCTATAACCAAACGCCAGTGCCAGCAGGGGCTAATCCAAAGGGCACCCAAAGGAATGATAAGTACCATATACCAAAGTTAAGCCAAGACCAAGTGAACAATCTAAATAGACCTGTTAGTCGTGAAAAATTAGAAGGTATTATCAAAAACCTCCATACCAAAAAAAAAAGCCCAGGAACAGATGCTTTCAGTGCAGAATTCTACCAGAACTTCCAAGAAGAGCTAATACCTATACTCCTTATTGTATTTCACAATATAGAAACAGAAGAGTCATTGCTAAACTCCTTTTATGAAACTACAGTTACCCTGATACCAAAATCACACAATGACTCAACCAAGAAAGAGAATTACAGGCCAGTCTCACTTATGAATATCGATGCAAAAATCTCAATAAAATACTGGCAAACTGAATCCAAAAACACATTAGAAAAATTATCCATTATGATCAAGTAGGCTTCAACCCAGAGAAGCAGAGCTGGTACAACATACACAAACCTATTAATGTAATCCATCATATAAATAAACTGAAAGAAAAAAAAACATATGATCAT